TCAGCCTCCCAAGTAGCTGGGACTACAGGCACCTGCCACCACGCCCGGCTAATTTTTTTTTTGTATTTTTAGTAGAGACAGGGTTTCACCGTGTTAGCCAGGATGGTCTCAATCTCCTGACTTTGTGATCCACCCTCCTCAGCCTCCCAAAGTGCTGGGATTACAGGCGTGAGCCACCACACCAGACTTTTTTTTTTTTAAGACCAAATCTTGCTCTGTTGCCAAGGCTGGAGTGCAGTGCCGTGATCTCGGCTCACTGCAAACTCTGCCTCCCAGGTTCAAGCGATTCTCTTGCCTCAGCCTCCTGAGTAGTTGGGATTACAGATGCCCACCACCATGCCCAGTTATTTATTTATTTAATTTTTTGAGACAGAGTTTTGCTCTTGTCACCCAGGCTGGAGTGCAATGCCGTGATCTCAGCTCACTGCAACTTCTGCCTCCCGTACTCAAGAGAGTCTCCTGCCTCAGCCTCCTGAGTAGCTGGGATTACAGGCACCCACCACCACATCCAGCTAATTTTTTTGTATTCTTAGTTGAGATGGGGTTTCCCCATGGTGGCCAGGCTGGTCTTGAACTCCTGACCTCAGGTGATCCACCCGCCTTGGCCTCTCGAAGTGCTGGGATTACAGGTGTGAGCCACTGCACCTGGCCTAATTTCTGTATTTTTAAGTAGAGACTGGGTTTCACCATGTTGGCCTTGAACTCCTAACCTTAAGCGATCCACCTGCCTCTGCCTCCCAAAGTGCTGGGATTACTGGCGTCAGCCACCACACCCAGCCTGGCTAACTTAAAAAAAAAAAAAAAAAAAATTTTTTTTTTTTTTTTTCGGAGATGAGATTCTCACCATGCTGCCCAGGTAGATTCCAAATTCCTGGGCTCAAGCGATCCATCTGCCTCAGCCTCCCAAACTGACCTCATTTTAACTTAATCACTTCTTCAAAGACCCTGTCTCCAGATACAATCACATTCTGAGGTACCGGAGGTTAGGACGCCAACTTACAAATTTTTGAAGGAGGATGAAATATTTTAGTTCATAATAGCAGTGATGAGCTTTATGGCCTCTGAAAAAGACATACTTCCCCAGGTGGATTCATCTCTTGGTGGTTTTGTTTGTTTGTTCTGAGACAAAGTCTCACTCTGTCACCCAGGCTGGAGTGCAGTGGCATGATCTTGGCTCACTGCAACCTCCACCTCCCGGGTTCAAGCAATTATCCTGCCTCACCCTTCCGAGTAGCTGGGATTTACTGGCACCCACCACCATGCCCGGCTAATTTTTGTATTTTTTGTGTTTTTAGTAGAAACGGGGTTTCACCATGTTAGCCAGGATGGTCTCAATCTCCTGACCTCGTGGTCCTCCCGCCTCAGCCTCCCAAAGTGCTGGGATTACAGGCGTGAGCCACCGCGCCTGGCCCCAAAGTGCTTTCAAAGTCTTAATTCAAAACTATGGCACAAATCCCACCCCACTGGGTTTGGTAATTCCTTCTTCCACACCCAGAGTAGGTTTTCTCAGCTCCATTCCCCAAACGACGCTGACTTGGGGCAGGGGAAGAATGCTTTGGTAGCTCAGGGGAAAGGACTGTGGAGTTCCTGCCTTTCCCCCTTCCAGGACCCAAGGGTGCTAGAGACCTTTCTGTGTTCCTGGTCAGAAGTGAGGAGGTAGAAAGACCAGGAGCCACAGCTCTTAGTCATCTCACAGGCAAGAAACATCCAACAGAGGCCAGCTTCTGCGGGGCACACTGGACCACATCATTTTTGCCAGTGTCCTGGAATAAGGAAGTGTAGGAAGGCAGACCGTAGGGCTCCTCCCTACCATGCTCATCAGGGTACCCAGGTGAGGGATGGAGTTGTCCTAAAGGCTTCCCAGAACTCACACACACGTGTCCCCACCTCTCCCCTCCTTGATCAGGTCTCCATTTTACGTATTTACTGATCATCTTATGCTATTGTTAACGTCGAAGCTGAGGGGTGAAACCACAGCAGAAAGCAAGGAACGCTCAACCCCAGATCACGGAGGAAGAGGTGGACAGAGAGCATGGTTCCGCCCATTTGCAGCCATTTCTGGGCCTCTAGGCTCTGGTGGCTCCTGGGATTGCTGTCCTTGGTGCTGAATACGTTTGTTAGGGGCGCACCTGACAAGTTTGTCATCCTCAGGGAAAACCCAGTCTCTTGGCGCTGAGAAGAAACCATGGCACAGCCCTTCTCAGTTCTCCAGCAACCCTGGACTCTGCAGGAGAAGAGACTCCCTACGTTTGTTTCTATGAGAGAAGGGAAGGCTGGAGCAGGGAGTGGGGGAAATCTCTGCAGTCCTCTCAGAAAGCAAACCCTTCCACACCTGTGATCCCATGCGATTCAGCAGAGTACTGAGTTAAAACTAGGCCATGGCTGGGTGCGGTGGCTCACGCCTGTAATCCCAGCACTTTGGGAGGCCGAGGTGGGCGGATCACAAGGTCAGGATATCGAGACCATCCTGGCCAATACCGTGAAATCCCGTCTCTACTAAAAATACAAAAAATTAGCCGGGTGTGGCGGTGGGCACCTGTAGTCCCAGCTGCTGGGGAGGCTGAGGTAGGAGAATGGCGTAAACCCAGGAGGCGGAGCTTGCAGTGAGCCGAGATGGCGCCACTGCACTCCAGCCTGGGCGACAGAGCGAGACTCCGTCTCAAAAAAAAAAAAACAAAAAAAAAAAACTAGGCCATGATGACACTTAGTGACACAAACATCTGACAAAAGAGCTGTACCCTTTATATTTTCAAAGGCTTCCTACAAATTAAGGAAGGCAGAAGACCCATTTAACGGGCAATGGACTTGAAGAGACATTTTACCAAGAAGAATATCCAAATGGCCACACACACACACACACACACACACACACACACAAATGGGAAGGTGTTCAACTTCGTTAGTCATTATGGAAATTAAACCACAAGGAAGTATCAGAACACTGCAGCAGAACTAAAATGGAAAAGACGAACCACCAACTATTTGCAAGTATATGGGGCAAATGAAGCTGCCTCACATTGCTGGCAGGATGGTAACCTGGGAAGCTGCTTTGAGAAATGGTTTGTCAGTAACTATGAAAGCTAAAGGTACATATATCATCACTGAGCAATTCCACTGCTAGGCAGACACCTGAAAGAACTTTCTGTGTGCTCCAAAAGACATGGACAGAAATGTTCATGGTAGCTTTATTCATAGTGGCCCCAAAACTAGAAATACAAAATGTTCATGAAGAGAGGGATGAAACAATAAATTGCAATACATTCATATGATAAATACTACACAGCAATAAAAATAAAAACACACAGCATGGATCCACACTTCATCCACAATGTTGAGTGAAGAAAGCCAGGATCAAATAACTATATACTGTATAATTCCCCTTAGAGAAGGTTCGACAGACTACACTAATTTACGGTGATAAAGATCAGGAGACTGGCCACTCTTGGGGAAGGCGGGTACAAACTGGAGAGGAGGCAGGAGAACCCGCTAAGATGCAGAAAATTTATTTTTGAGATGGAGTTTTGCTCTTGTTGCCCAGGCTGGAGTGCAGTGGTGTGATCTCGGCTCACCACCACCTCCGCCTCCCGGGTTCAAGCGATTCTACAGGCATGTGCCACCACACCCGGCTAGTTACATATTTTTAGTAGAGAGGGGGTTTCTCCATGTTGGTCAGGCTGGTCTCCAACTCCCTACCTCAGGTGATCCGCCCGCCGTGGCCTCCCAAAGTGCTGGGATTGCAGGCGTGAGCCACCACACCAGGCTATTTGAGACAGAGGCTCACTTTGTCACCCAGGCTAGAGTGCAATGGCACGATCTAGGCTCACTGTAACCTCTAGTTCCCGAATTGAAGCGATTCTCCTGCCTCAGGCTCTCGAGTAGCTGAGATTACAGTCATGTGCCACCATGCCTGGCTAATTTTTGTGTTTTTAGTAGAGATGGGGTTGCATCATGTTGTCCAGGCTGGTCTTGAACTCCTGACCTGGTGATCTGCCTGCCTTGGCCTCCCAAAGTGCTGGGATTACAGGCGTGAGCCACCATGCCCGGCTATTTATTTTTGGAGATGGAGTTTTGCTCTGGTTACCCAGGCTGGAGTGCAGTGGCGCGATCCTGGCTCACTGCAACCTCCACCTCCCGTGTTCAAGCGATTCTCCTGCCTCAGTCTCCTGAGTAGCTGGGATTACAGGCATGCAACACCACATCCAGCTAATTTTCTTGTATTTTTACTAGAGACAGGGTTTCATCATGTTGGCCAGGCTGGTCTTGAGCTCCTGACCTCAGGTCATCTGCCCACCTCGGCCTCCCAAAGTGCAGGGATTACAGGCGTGAGCCACCGCACCTTTCAGCTCACACAATGAAGGTTTATGAAGCCCCAGATTCCAGGGCCTCCACCATGACTCCCTCCCTGCCACATTTCTGGTCCCACTGGGGACTGTGGTCCCTGCTGACTGGACCCAGCAGGTGTAGGTGTGCGGGGTCTGGGCCCAGCGGGGATATACACCTTAGTGTCACAGAACTCGGGGGTCTAAGCCTGTATCCTCAGATCCACGACCTGACCGGGCAAGGAAAGGAAGGGAAGGGGGTCAGGGTTCCTGCAGGAAGGTTCTCTGAGTGGCCTTAAACAGACCCAGTTGTCTCTTACTTGTAGTTCTCAAGAGTAACTGTGGAATGTGCTGGGAATGCAACATCCCGCGATATGGAGGGACCGGCCAGGCAGCCTGGGCTCCATTCCCGCCCACCCTAGAAACAGAATGCCCTTCAATTCAATGCTTGAGCCCAGTAACTCAGGTTTCACCCAGAGTAGAAAACCCAGGGCTGGGTACCTTTTGGGGTCTCTCAACTGCCATACAAGTGAGACACACACAATTGTGACCCCATCCTCCCTAGGCCACTTTCCTAAGCCTTGGGGGATCAGCTCACAACGGACCCTGGGCTTCTCCTGTCCCTTGCTGCCCATCTGTGAGTAACAAGCCCACTTCACGTAACTTTTTGCATGTGTGGCGTTGTCTCATCGGGCTCTGGTAAATTGGTAACCAGTGCACAGGGAACCTGCTTCACAGATCACACGCCATAGTCCCCGGGCCTCCAGAGGAAAGGGAAGCATCCCCTCCTTCCCACGGCCCTGCTTGTTATGGAGGCATGCACCCTATCAGTGGAGCCCAGAAGCCAGAGGCCTCCTGAGGCCTCCTACTCCCCAAGCCCGGGGTGCTCTCGCCCCTCTCACCTGTGGCCTCTGTGAGCATCTGACTGGGGCTGTTGACCTCATGCTACTGCGCCCACATGCTGGGGTACTGGGTCCCTGCAGTCAGGCCCTCCACAGGCACCCTGATGTCTGAGGAGTCACTGGCCCAGTGGAGCCAGGGGCAGGTCTTGGGGTCTCGGCCTGCGGGGGCCTCAGGGTGAGGGAGCTGGTGGTCTGAGCCTGTGTGACCAGGCCAGGGACTAGTCTGGGAATGTGGAAAGAAGAGTCATTTGATGAAGTTTGTTTGTGGCTCTAATCATGAGAATAAAGTGCACAGCCTGGCACTTTTTACAAATGTGCAAACACACGCACGTGCACACACACAGGCACACGCGCACACACACGCACATGTTGCTGGGCAGTGGACAGGTGGCCCCTCTTACCTGTGGACATGCTCAGGACATCCCTGCGGCCACCTAATCCTTTCCTCTCGGCCCACACAGAGAAGGTGTAGAGGGTCTCAGGCTGAAGCCCCTCCACCCCTAGCCAGCAGTCTGACGTGCTTGTGTTCCCGCTGGTCATGCCCGCCCCCGGACCCAGTAGATGGAAGTCTGCAGGTCTGAGCCCTTGGGGCTGCCCAGCTCAGGGTGATGGAGCTGGAGGTCTGAGCCTCCGCACTCAGGATTCTGACTGCCTTGGGGGCTGAGACATGAGGAGAAGGCTCTGTGGTGAACAGAAGAGGGAATCCCACGGCCCTTCCTAGACGTGCAGGATGGAGGCTGATGGGGTCACTAACCTGCTGCTGTGGCCTCTGTCGTCCAGAGGGCCTGGGGAGGGACCAGACAGGGAATCAGACCCAGGGGTGGTCTGACCTGCAGGATCGGAATGAAGGCTGCTGAGTCCCACCCCAGCAGGAGGGCCCAGCCCCTCCTCCCTCAGACCCAGGGGTCCAGGCTCCAGCCCCTCCTCCCTCACTCCCAGGAACCCCTCATGTCTGCAGGCCCCATGCGCCCCTGGAATCTGCACACCCAGAGCCCCGTCCCTCCAGCTGCACTTTACTGTGGAATTTCCTCTTTCCCCGCCTTTCATCGGGTCTGAGTAGAGAGGAGGGTAGGAGAGGAGGAAGTGGAGGTTTCAAGCCTGAGTGCAATCCTTCAGATCCTCCTCACGCCTGACTCTTACTGAGGGAAATCCCTCAACTTCCACTTCTCCTCACTCCAACTGTGGATTCCTGTCCTCACTTTCCTTCCTGGTCCCTGTCCTCCAGGATCCCCACCTTCCCTTCCCACCTCTGTACTCTCACATCCGCGAGTCCCGAAATGCAGGTCCTGGATGGAGAAGTCGCCTCTCTGTTGTAAGAGTCTCTAAACGCTGACCATGGATGGAGAAGTCGCCTCTCTGCTATGAGTCACTAAAAGCACATCATGGATGCAGAAGTCAAATAGGGTCTTGGAGAGCAGCTTGGACCCTGTCAAGTATTCAGATGCAGAATCTGAGGACCAGAGAGGGACAGCAGCTTGCCAAGGTCACACAGCCTTGACAAGGAGCACAGCTGGGTTCCTCCTTCCCATTTGATTCCTACCCCCTTGCCACCCTCTCTCCTCATTCTCAAGCCTCCTACCCTTCTCCCAATACTGCATGTGACTGCAGCTGGTTCTGTCCCCTAAAAAGATATGTCCAAATCCTAACCCCAGGTACCTATGCAGGTGACACTACTTACAAACAGGGTCTTTGCACACATACTTTAGGATCTTGAGATGGAATCACCCTGGGTTTACGGTGGGCCCTAAATCCAATGGCCTGTGTCCCTAGAAGGATGCAGACACAGAGGGAGGCTGCCCGGTGAAGCCAGTCACGTGAAGATGGAGAGACACAGCCACAGGCCGAGGGAAGCCAGGGATTCCTGGGAGCCTCCAGAAGCCAAGAGGGCAAGGATGGATTCTTCCCGAGAGCCTTAAGAGGGAGCACGGGCAGGAAAACACCCTGATTTTGGACTTCGGGTCTCCAGAACTGCAGAGAGTCCATTCATCTTGTTTCAAAGCATCTGGTTCGGGGTAATTTGTGACGGCAGCCCCAGGAAACTAACACAGAAACTAACCAAACAGTTCTCTTGGCTCAGTTCTGCACAATCCTCACTTTATCTCCTCAAATCCACTCCCACCAGAGGGCCAGGGAGGGTCCCACTGGGCACCAGGCCTGGTCCATGGGGAGTGACCAAGAACCGTTTGCTGTCATTAACCGCGACGGTTGATCACAATGATCTTCCCCGAGGCCTCTCCCACGGTAACAGCAACATCGATGGTTCCACACCCACTTTACTAAGACAAGGAAAACGGATTCAGAGCAGGAGCTGGGGGCGGGCAGACTGTGGGGCCGACACAGAACACGGAGGCGGGCTGGTGGCTGGGAGGGCCACGTGTGGGCCTGGCTGAGGAGCCAGGGATCTGGAGTCAGAACCTGGAGAAGGCAGCTGGAACCCAGCAGTGGACTTGGAATTCCGCAAATGGTCCTCAAACGTCTTCAGCTGGAAGCGGCGGCGGCGGCGGCGCCTGCAGACAGGCGTGAGGAAGTTTTGCTGCTGAGGGTATTTCTCAGGCTGGGCTGATCTGGGAGGCCCAGATCTTTGCAAGAGGAGAGAGCCTGAATACTGGCCCTTCAAGCTCTCTAGTCAGTCGGTCTTCGCCATCTGGCTCCTGAGGGCCGACAGTGTGATGAGGAGCTGGGCAGCGTAGTAGGTGGTCATGACCACAAGGCGGGCACGGGGCAGGGGCTGGACAAAGGTGTCCCAGGCCAGCACGCCATCAGAGAGTGTGAAGAGCAGCGCGCCCCAGCTGGCACTCCCGCCCCGGGCCAGGCCGCGCCACAGCATGGCCATCAGGATCAGCCCATAGGCTGCCACAGGCAGGCCCATATCTGGCTCAAGGTGCTGGAGCACAAGGCTGAGGTAGGGGCCACAGGCCAGGATGATGAGCAGCAGCAGGCCAGGCTGCAGGGGAGAGAAGCCGAAGGCCCAGACGTAGAGAAGGTGGGTGGTGGCGAAGGCAGCCATGCCTGGTGGGAGAGGGGTGGGGTGCCAGTGAGGAAGGCCCATCCTGGGAATGGCCCCGAGGTCACCCCTCAGTGCCTAAAATAAGGGCCGTCCCAAAGCACCAGGCCCCACCCTGGCCAAGCCTCCTTGCAGGCCTCCCCACATGCAGCGTCCATCCTTGCTCTGCTCAGAACCGCAGGAGGCCCCATCTTCTTTTGGCCTCCAAAGCCCCATGCCCTCCGGCTCACCAGCCACTCTGCCCAGTCACCCTGGCCTGCCTGGCCACAAGCACCTGGCACACCCCTGTCCCGGAGCCTTTGCACTTGCCCTTCCCCCACACAGGCACACAGCACCTTCTGCTCTGCCCGAATGTGACTTTCTCAGCGACACCTTCCTCAGCAACCCTGCTTCAAACTGCAGCACCCCCAGCGGGTCCTCACTGCCCTTGCCACCCCCAGCTACTGCCCTAACACCACCAGCCCCCATCCCTCATTGCAGCGTGAGCTGCCTCGGTCATGGCTGTGCCCCCCACCGTGCCTCTGACCTCCGGAGCTCTCACAGGAGCCCTCTGCACCCCAGGCTCCCATCCAAGTGCTGGGACCTCCCTCACACAGGTATCCGGAAGGCGTCATGGCAGCTTCTGCTCACCAGGGAGGAAGGCTTCAGGCCAGATGAGGCAGGCGTCCCCCACTGCCGAGCACAAGAGGGCTCCCTGGAAGAGCCGGGTGTAGCCCCCGCCCGGGCACACGACCCACAGGAACCCAGCCAGGCAGAGGATGGGCAGGCACTTGACCAGGGCAGCGACCCAGGACGGCTGGTCCTCGGGAATCCAGAGGCAGAAGTACACGTAGCAGGAGAGGATGAAGGGGCTCAGCCACCTGCAGACATCTGGGCGCTTTGGGGAATGGGGAGCTGCTGAGCCGAAACCCAGCCTAGCCCCCGTTCTTGGGACTGAGATCTTGTGGCTCCTGTCCTACCCCTACCTGGGACCCCAGCTGTACAGGCTGTACCCATTCAGGGACCAGGCTGCCAGAACCCAGCTTCCCAGGGTCCCAACCAACGCAAGGACAGCAGCTCCCAGACCCACCAGCTGCTGGGGTTCCAGGGGCCTGTCCCCCAGCCCCAGGCACACCTCGGAAGGCTCTCACCTGGGCTGGGCAGTGAGTCTTCAGGGTCTGCCCCGCTTTGCCAGCGTCCATGCTGGCCTGATACCCCCAGAGTGACCTAATCTGGGAGCGAGTGGCTTCAGGGGGTGGAGGGGACGGCTCATGGTTACACGTTAACCCAAGGAGCGTCCTGTGGACTCTGTGACTGATAACAGGGCCCAGAGAGATGTTGTCCTCACCCTGGGGATGGCCTTGCCTGGCACCCGCTGATAAAGCACTGTTGGCATCGGGGGTCCCTCTGCCCTGCCTGCTGGGACATGGTTTCCTCCTCCTGTCTGCCTGTGGGGGTGGGGTGAGGCCCACAAATGCCCGTCCCCTTGTCCTGGGCCCAATCAGCAGAGATGGAGTGCAGAATTCCAACGGCCACCCCTTCATGAAAGCGGGGGAGGGGCTAGCTGGCAGGAGCACCCCTGGAGGGATGGGAAGGCGAGTCCATCCTTCACTTGCTGCCCTAGCCATCTCCCTCCCTGCTCCATGAAACCTTCCCTCATTCTGCTCAACCCCACCAAGCCCTCATGGGCTCCACCACAAACACTGCTTCAATGGGTGACGAGGAGGGACCACCATGAATGCGGGGAATAAGCACCCTCTCCTGTTAGCTGAGTGAGCCCCGGGTGACCTCCAAGCCAACTGCCATCCAAGTGAGGACACTGTCCTCATGGCCCGGTCCACACGCTCCGGTTTCCCAGCGCCGCTCACCCGTGCCACTCGCTGCACACCCAGCCTACATTTCCACCTTCCACCTGAAAGACTCAGACCTACTGGGCGCCAGAGCCCAGCCTCAATGCTGGGCTTGGTTACTGGGGGTAAGTGCAGGCAGGAGCAGGGATGTGAGCCCCTGTCGGTGGCTTCTATTCTCTGCCCACAGGCCTGCCCGTAGGTGGGGTAGGCCTGGTAGGAGCCCTCAGAGCCAGCGCCTGGCCCAACCTGGGACCTCTGCAGCCACAGGCCTCCCCCTGGCAGGACATAGTGTTGGGACAGACTGGGTCAGAAGCACCCCCAGCCTCTGAGGTGCAGGGATAACACAGGCTCCCCACCCCGCATCCCAGAACGTAAGGTCTGACCAGCAGAATCGTAAACTGTCTTCCTTTATTTATATTTGCAATATGAAATAGAAGCTCGGCACGAACGCACGCACACTCACACCAGCCTGGAGGAGGGAGCTGGGGACAAGGCCACTTGGCAACAGGGCTGGGACCCCAGACCCTCAAGGCCCCTAGGGGTGTTGCCGGGGAGGCCCCTGCTCCCCAGAGCCGGACTGGCCTGGTTGAAAGTGCAGGGTCTGGGCAAAGGCACGGCCCCCACTCGGGATCCTCTGGCACCCCCACCTGCGCTGGGCCGTCCCCCATGGTGGACCTGAGCTGAAAGGCCGGGTGTGGGCGTGGCCATCTGCGCTGGAGCATGGGACGGCTGGGCACGTGGGCGGCAACCTTGGGACCCCTAACACCAGCCCCCGCTGGGACGGAACGGGGAAGGCTGTGCTTTGGAGCCGCCAGCCCAGCTTGGTGTCCTCACTTTCTCTCGCTCTCCTCCCTCTCTCTATATATAATATATAATATACGTTTCTCTCTCTCCATTCTCTCTATTTGACTCTCTTTATCTTTATTCTAGGAGGCAATGCTCCAAAACTTCTCTTCTCAGTGCAAATGGGGGTCGGTTGGGCCTGTCTCCCTGGCACCCACCTCCTGGGGGTCCAGAGGAGAGAATGTGGGGGGTTCAGGGTGATGAGGGCACTGGGGGCCATCATGGGACCCGCCCTGCCCCCACCCTGGGAGATCCATGGGAGGATGGAAGATTTGGCTGCCGCTGCCGCACCAGGCAGCTATCTGGAAACAGAGGGAGACGTCGTGTGAGGGTCCAGCAGGCCCAGCCCCACCTACCCAGCCCCAGGCTGCAGCCACACTCACTGGGAGCCTGGGGATGCAGGCCCTTCCGGGGCAGAGCCATTGGGTATCGGAGGAGGCGTGAGGGCCTGGGCACTGTCACGGGAGAGAGGGGATGTGCAGAGGTCACTTCCTGCCCCACCAGCCCTGCCCCGCCCCACTGCCCTGGTGCTCACCTCTGGCTTTGGGGAAGCCCCAAGGGCTCTGGGCTCTTCTCCCCATCTGTGGTCTGGGGGCGCTGGTGGGCCCCGGAGGCTGGGACAGAGGTAGAGGGGTCTCTGGTTGCACTGTGGGTGAGGAAAGTGCGGCTGTCAGCGTGGCCCCCACTGTCACCTGCTGACACCCTCACACCCCAGACAACTGAAGTCGGCTCACTGGGTGTGTGTCTGCCGCTTGCCCCACCAGGAGGGGCCTCCCAAGGACACAGCTGGCTCAGCGTGGAGGGACGGCATGGCCCTGGGCAGGAAGACAAGCTACCCTCTTCCCGCCTCCTGTCCCTGTGGAAGAGGCACTCGAGGCCAGCTGAGACAGCCCCAAGGGGCCTTCTGCATGCTCTCCCCCTCCCAATCCTTCACACCCTCCGACGAGCCTTTCCCAACCCTGGGGCTCAAGGGCCCCCAGCATTCCAGGCTACTAAGAGAAGAACCAGCCTACAGAGTGCAGGGGGCCGGGGCACATGAGGCTAGGCCTGGGGGTCCTGCAAAGGAGACCTGGAGCAGCTCAGGGACAAGATGAACCCAGAGCCCGCCTCACCGCAGAGGAGAAAAGATTTCTCCTGACACCCGGCCCTCACCTTAGCAAGCCCCACCTCGCCGCTCACCTGTCCGAGGAGTTGGGGGCAGAACGGATCCCGTGGAAGGTGGCCTGAAGGTCCCCGATGCTAACCAAGGCCTGGCAGGGGGCTGTGGGGGATGAGAGATCTCAGCTGCAGCCTCCCAGCAAGCTCAGAGCTGGCCAGGCTGCTCTCTCTGCCCAGGGCCACAGGTGGGCAGGGCAAACTGGGGCTCACCTGAGGGCTCTATGACTTTGCTGCCTTCTGTGGCTTCCTGAGGTGCTGAGGGGGGTGTGGGGTCCTGAGACCTGGCAGATGAGAGGCAGCCCAAGGGGGCAGCTAGGGTTAGCACTCGAGCCTATGAGAGGACTGGGACCCCATGGCCACCTCCTGGTCTCGGGATACCAGCGCCATCCAGCCCGTCCCATCTGGTTCTCACCTGAGCTGCAGGGCATCACGGGCAGGAGGGCTGGCCAGGTTCTCGGTGGGGAGGTCCTGGGACACACTGAGGGGTCCCTGTGGGGCTGGAGGCCCAGTGTGCAGCTCTTCCTCCCTGGAGACTCGGGGGCTGGTCGGGGCATCTGGAGGCACTGGGTCAAAGGTGGCTGTCCAGCTGGGGCCTGGGATGGAGTTGGGGGAGCGGCATAAAGCGTGAACTCGGTAGCAGGCAGACAGCCCTGTGTACACCTGACCACACCGCCCATTCATTCACCTGGAGGCTGAGGGCCAGGGCTGGGGTAGGATATGGGGGTGGCCCCTCCACGGGCTGCACAGCCAATGCCCTCCTCGTCTTCCTCCTCCTCCTCGTCCTCCTCTTCTTCATCCTCACTGTCTGTGCTGCCTCCACTCCTGCCCCAGAAACCGCCTTGTCAGCTAGCTGTGTGGGACAGACCAGCCGACACCCATCCCGTTCCCTGCAGCCCAGGGTCAGTCCAAGGAGAGGGGGCTGGGATGACCGGCAGGTCACAGAAGGGTTCAGGGAGTTTGGGGTGTGATGACACCAGGAGAGGCTGGGAGAGGGAGTTCTGAGCCAAAGGTGAGAACACAAGCGGGCAGGGACAGAATGAAGCCGTAAGGAGACCATTCGTCCCCAATCATCCACGCAGAGTAGGCCCTAGGAAGTGGGCTGAGACTCAGCCATGGCAGCCAGAGCAGACAGACCCACTCACCAGCTCTCAAGTCACCTCCCAGCTGTCACCTCACACTGTCACCACAGTGACAGGCCTTCCCACCAGCAGACCCACCCTCTGGACGGAAGGCTTCACACTACTCTCTCCCTCCCTCCAACTAGAAACTCCAAGAAGGCAGAGATGGCTGACTTTTGCCACTGCTGTATCCTCAGCCCTGAGAAACCACCAGGCACCCAGAGCTGCTCCAAAAATACTGGCTGAATGTTGACTAACACACACCTGTGAACATGAAGAAAATCCAAGCAATCTATGCGCTGATCACCCAGGAAAGAGGTAAGCAAAGTCACATTAAAACTAAGCTTTAACAGGGAGAGTGCGTGCTGGAAAATGCAGCATTAGGAGATTTTACTACTGTGTGAACATTCTAGAGTGCACTTACACACACCTGGATGGGAGCGCTTACTACACACCTAGGCTCTATGGTATAGCCCTATTGCTCCTAGACTACAGACCCGTACAGCATGTTATGGTACTGAATACTATAGGCAATTATAACACAATGGTAAATGTTTGTGTATCTAAACATAGGAAAGAAAGAGTAAAAATAGAGTATTATAATCTTACAGGACCACTGTCATATATATGGTCCATTGTTGATCCAAAGATGCAGTATGGGACTATATACTATGTCTAAAATGCTGACTAAATATTTTTGTCTTAACAGAGTAACTGACTACTTTAACTGGAAAGTAATATATCTATATATAGTTAAAAGTAAACGAAAACACTCAATGACCAAGGACTATAAAGGAAGCCCCTCAACCTAATATAAGGCATCTATCCAACCCCACGACTAACAGCACACTTAAACGGTGAAAGGCTGCATGCTTCCCCTAAGATCAGGAACAAAACAAGGAGGCCTGTTCTTGCCACTTTTGTTCAACATTGTACTGGAGGCTAGCTAGGCAACCAGGCAAGAAAAGGAAATTAAAAGCATCCAGATTTGAAAGGAAGGAAAATGATCTCTATTCACATGACATGATTCTGTACCTAGAAAATCCTAAGGAATCCACTAAAACTATAAGAATTCATAAATTACTTCAGCAAGGTTGCAGGATAATAGATCAACACACAAAAACCTATTGTATTTTCATACACTTGTAACAATCTGAAAACAATTTCAAGAAAATTCCATTTACAATAGTATCAGAAAGAAGAAAACAGGAATAAACTTAAAAGAAATACAAACCTCATACTCTAAAACCCACGAAACACTGTTGAAAGAAATTTTAAGACCTATATAAACAGACACCCATGTTCATGCATTAGAAGAACCCTTTAAGAAACTTAGCTGGTTTCTTCTTTGAAATTAATAAGCTGATCCTAAAATTCATATGGAATCTCAAGAAATCCCAAATAGGTCAAAACAATCTTGAAAAAGAAGAACAAGGTTGGTAGACTAAAACCTTCCATTTTCTTTTTTTTGTGAGACGGGAGTTTCATTCTTGTCACCCAGGCTGGAGTGCAATGGTGCAGTCTCAGCTCACTGCAACCTCTGCCTCCCAGGTTCAAGCGATATTCCTGCCTCAGCATCCTGAGTAGCTGGGATTACATACAGGAACCCACCACCACACCCGGCTAATTTTTGTATTTTTAGTAGAGACAGGGTTTCGCCATGTTGGCCAGGCTGGTCTCAAACTCCTGACCTCAGGTGATCCACCTGATTGGCCTCCCAGAGTGCTGGGATTACAGGTGCAAGCCACCGTGCCCAACAAACCTCCCATTTTCAAAACTTACTATAAAGCAACAGCCACCAGGGCAGTGTGGTACTGGATAAAGACAGACTCATGGAACAGAATAGAGAGGGAAGAAACACTCTCTCACACATATGGTCAAATATTTCTTTTTTATACAGGTGCCAAGATGATTCAGTGGAGAAAGGACAGTGTCTTCAACAACTGGTGCAGGGAAAACTGGTTATCTACATGTAAAGAGACGAAGCTGGACTGAACCCCCACCTCACACCATATACAAAATTTAGCTCAAAATGAATCGAAAACCATAGAAATAATGCTATAAAACTCTTAGAAGAAAACAAAGGGCTAAGTCAAGATGCTGGATCCTCCCAAAGTGCTCCTCCCAAAGTGCTGGAATTACAAGCTTGAGCCACTGTGCCTGGTTAATTTGTTGATTTCTTAATGCATCATCTAACCTTTTTTTTGAGACAGGTCTGGCTCTGTTGCCCAGACTGGAGTGCAGTGGTATGATCTCGGCTCACTGTAACCTCTGCCTCCCTGGCTCAAGCAATGACACACTTGTGCACCAACAACACGTGCAGGAGTATTCATAGCAGCTGCACTCACAGCAGTGATCAACAGGAACCTGCCCAAAGGCCTATCAACTGCAGAACAAGCAACTCAAGCTCATCACGTACAGCATGGCCCCACTACACGAGAGCAAGGCACACCCAAACACACAATAGGGAAGGAGCTCACGAGTGGAGTGCTGAGCAAAGAGGTCAGACACAAAAGGAGATGCTGTATGCTGTATCAAGTGACAACAGAGACCAAACTCATCTGCAGGGTTAGAAGCCAGGACAACTTGACCCTCAGGAGGGAGGATACTGGCTAGCAGAGGGGATGTGGGTACTGGGAAGGTCCTGCTCCTGGGTCTAGGCACTGAGGAAGGATGTCCATTGGCCACACACTTAGGATCTGTACAGTCGTCTATACTCACGTTACATGTCAATAAAAAGTGAAAACAGCCTAATTCCCAAATCAAAAGTCATAAGGCAAAAACTCAGTTGCAGATGGTGACTTAGTGTTCATGCTGTCAAATCTACATGGCATGAACCCATTTCATCACAGCAATTCTGGGGCCGGCCAGTAATAAGAGAAAAAAAACAATGTAACATTTGCACTAAAAACTGATCACAGCCTCACTGGAGAAGGACATCATCAGCTCTCATTTTACTGGAATTAGAGGAAAGAGAAGCTGCCTGGGACCATCTTACCCCCCTTTCTAGGAAAACATGCATGAGAGCTAACAAGAGGAAGTGAAGTTAAGGGATGAAGGAAGGAGAGGGGGAGGCGGGGAGAGAGACGCACACAGACCAAGCCATATCTCAAGGACCTGCCTATTTTTTCAGCCACAGAGATTATCCCTTTCTTTTTATAACTTAAACTCATTTGAATTAGATTTCTTTTAATTTGTTGATTCTTTTTTTTTCTTGTTTTGAGACCAGGTCTTGCTCTGTCACCCAGACTGGAGTGCAGTGGTGTGATCTCAACTCACTGCAACCTACGCCTCCCAGGCTTAAGGCGATCCTTCCACCTCAGCCTCTCAAGTAGCTGGGACTACAGGCGCATGTCACCAATCCAGGTGATTTTTGTATTTTTTTGTAGACACAGGGTTTTGCTATGTTGCACAGGCTAGGTCTCAAACTCCTGAGCTCAAGTGATCCATCCACCTTGGCCTCCTCCCAAAGTGCTGGGATTACAAGCTTGAGCCACTGTGCCTGGTTAATTTGTTGATTTCTTAATGCATCATCTAACCTTTTTTTTTGAGACAGGTCTGGCTCTGTTGCCCAGACTGGAGTGCAGTGGTATGATCTCGGCTCACTGCAACCTCTGCCTCCCTGGCTCAAGCCATCCTCCCACCTCAACCTCCCGAGTAGCCAGTACTACAGGTGCACACCACCATGCCCATCTAAACTTTCATTTTTGTAGAGACAGGATCTCCCTATGTTGCCCAAGGCTGGTCTCAAACTCCTGAGCTCAAGGAATCCATCTGCCCTGGCTTCCCAAAGTGCTGGGATTACAGGCACTCACGAATTACATGAGCCCACCATGCTTGGCCTTGAATTAGATTTATATCACCACAAAAGTGGAAGTGCCCCCAACTAATACACACACCAATGCAGCTTCCTTATTTTTTTCATTCACTTCAGCCTCAGTCCAAATGTGTTGGCAGACCCCTTGGCCCTGCTGTGTGGTGGAAGCTTGGAGAAGGGAAACTGGAGGGGGACTCACCGGACACCAGGGGGCTGGCTCAGATGGGCCCCCCTGGCCAACTGGCTGCCCTGCCAGGCGCCATCTTCTCCATCAGACTCCCCTGAGCCCTGGGCCTCTTCCTCGTCCTCCTCTTCCTCATCATCATCAAACTGCTGGATGCGGTCCTTGTAGCATATCTCAAGTAGGTTGGCGTTGGGCTGCAGGACACAGGGGTAGGAGGATGGGCCACACTGCACACAGCCCCACGCCCCTCCATTCGCCACAACCAGGGGACAGGGCAGTACTCACGTTGTCATCGTCGGCGTTGAGGGAGAAGGTGATGTTGGCTGTCTTGTCAAAAGGTGCGCTAGGAGAGAAGGTGAGGCATGGTGAGAGGGTACACCTGGGGGTGGGGGCAGCACAGGACAAGGCCACATTCCTTTCTTCACTCAACGTAGAGCTGACCCTCACTACTTGCAGAGTCAGTATCTGCAAATTCACGCACAACCCAAGCCACTGATCCTAAGGAGCAATGTATACATGAATATCAACATCTCACAGAGATGATCACTTTAAATCCTTAAAACCACTCATTGAGGTAAATTGTTTCCCTTGGCTCTAGAAGTGAGAAAATGGGGCTCAGAAATGTTAAGTGACTCTCCTCAGGCTTCTCCAAGGACAGGTGCCAGAGAGGGATTCAGACCCATGCCCCTGTCCCCATCCTTGGGGCACTGTAGGAGGCGAACACTCATACCAGCCAGGCACAAGCAGCGCGTGAGGCTACAGCCCAGTAAAGCACATCCCTAACCTCAAGATGTCTATGGTCTGTGGCTGAAATTCTAAGTTATGGGCAAAAGAATCACATCAGAACTTGAACTGAGCCTGCCAGGACCCCAGCTCCCTCAACATGAGGGTCCACATTCTGTCCCATGCGTTAGGGACACTTCAAGGGATCATTTGTCTCAAATTCATGAAAAATTGTGCCACAAAGATCAACGGATAAAGGGCGGTTAATTATTAATAAAGGACACTAGGCATGTGACAGACATCACTCACGCACTTCATTCTCCCAACCACCTTCCAAGGCAAGTGTCCTTAGTCCCTCCTAGACACTGAGAAGCAGCGGAGCAGAGATCACGCTGGGCACACAGGGGATCTAGGGCAGGGCAGCCCATGTCCCCGTGGCACTGGCAGCCTCAGCTGACCTGGCTTCTCCTGCCACAGGAGCTCTGCAGGGCAGCATCTTCAGCCCTGAGGTGATCAAACCAGTCATCCACTTTCCATTCCGGAACGCTTCCTAGCTTTGGTTTTGTTCGCTTAACTTTTTAACCTCTCTGGAATTTTGTTGGTAGAGGAAGTGCTAATAGTTTCATCCCAAAAGGGCAGCTGGTGATACTAATGCCATCTACCAGTCAGTCCCTTCATCCTCATGCCAGGATGGGTTTTTTTTTTTTAATTAAAAAAGCAGAGATGGTCTCACAACATTGCCCAGGCTGGGCTGAAATTCCTGAACTCAAGCGATCCTCCTGCTTTGGCCTCCCTAAGTGCTGGGATTAAGATGTGAGCCACTGTGCCCAGCCCAGTTTTCACTTGAGCATCTTCTCCAGAGGTCTCGGCACAGGCCACTGACCCACAAAGACCAACACTCTGCAAGTCTCCACGCTGGGCATGGAGGCAGCACACACGGGGTCTCATGTCTGCACCTGAGAGGACCTCTGTCCAGCTGTGGACTAAGCACAGCTGACTATCCCTCATCGTGGTGCCCCTCACGCTGTGCTGTACAGGAACCCTGGGGCAGCCATAGGCAGCCATCCAGCTCCCACATACTAACCGGTTATGTCCTGGGGACTCAGTCTCCCTGGCCGTAAATGAGCTCATTGTGGAGAGTGAGATAGAGTCTCGCTCTGTTGCCCAGGCTGGAGTGCAGTGGCGCAATCTCAGCTCACCTCAAACTCCACTTCCCGGGTTCAAGCGATTGTTCTAACTCAGCCTCCCAAGTAGCTGGGACTACAGGCACATGCCACCACGCCCGGCTAATTTTTGTATTTTTTGTAGAGACGGGGTTTCACCATGTTGGCCAGGCTGGTCTCGAACTCCTGACCTCAGGTGATCCACCTGCCTCAGCCTCCCAAAGTACTGAGATTACAGGCATAAGCCACTCCGTCCGGTCACTTTTTTCTGACTCTAGAAGCAACACACGCTTGTGGCAAGAAACTCAGAAAAGTTTATGATCACAACACCCAGAGATGACTGATGTTCAGATGTTGTTGCCCCACAAATCAAAATAAGCAGAATTGGTAATTGGAAAAAAATGTTTAGTCACCCTGAGGCCTGTGGAGGGGAGAAGTGGACCCTCGTGTCTGGCGGACTCGTGACCCAGAGGGCATTCATGCAGGCGCAGTTTTGCCTCACAGTCCCTGCGCCAGGACCTGCTGGTCCCCACTACCCTGAGCCCCTCCCACCTGGGACCCCTAAGGCTAGCTCCAGGAGTGGAAGGGACCTGCTCTGTGTCCCCAGCACAGAAGATGTTTGTGCCCCACCCTCATGGCCTGCCCCTCGGAGAGAAGAGACTGCAGAGCTGGAACTCATGTAAGAGGAGGCAGACACACGAGGCTGCAGACACGCACACAAGGCCATGGCCAACGTGTGCCCAGCAGCAGCCATAGCTGCAGGCTGAGCCCCGCAGGGCACGCAGGTGGGTGTGGGGGACAGACACAAGTAGGCACGCCTGCTGCTGCAGAGGCAGGACAGGGCTCTGACCCTGCGCAAGAGACACTCACTTCACACTCTCCTCCTGCTCCCCAAACTCCTCATCATTGAAGCCAAAGTGGTCAATAAAGGCGGAGGTCATGCGCTGCATCTGGAAATCCATGAAGGCCTGTGGAGGTGCGGAGGTTGGGGCTGGAGGGAGCTGGACGGGACCCCACTCCAGCACAGCCCAGCACAGCCCCGCACAGCCCCAGGTCCACCTGCTGCAGCACGGCCTCCTCAGGGAAGTTGAACTCCTTGAGCCGGTCGTCCTCATCGTCACTGGAGGAGTGTAGGTGGTGGGTGTTCACCTGGGGAGAGGACGGGGCGTCAGGGCCTGCTGGAGCCCCCAGACGAGGGTGGGCAGGCAGCTACGAGGACGGGGAGGCTAAGACTGGCCCGAGAGGGAAGCGGTAGGAGAATCCGGGCCTCACCAGGTCCACCATGTTCTTCTTGTTGGTCTCCGCCAGGGGCCCCGATACAAAGGCTTCCCACTGCTCCTGCTGCTCGCTGGGCAGCTCTGCTTAGGTGAGAGGGGTGAAGACGTGAGGCATCCCCTGGCTTCAAGCCCCCCACATACCCCTCAGGCTGGCCTGGGGACCCTCACCCTTCAGCAGCTGTCCCAGTTGCTCTGCATTGGGCCCCTTCTCTGTGCTCTGCACCAGGGCGTTGGCCATTCTCGTCAGGTGGCCCATGTAGCCTTTCCGAGGGCCTCCCGCAGACCTGGCAAGAGTGAAGGCCATGGCTAGAAGCCAGGACTGGACCCAGCGATGCCCAGCCCCGACCCATCCCCCAACCCAGGCAGTCCCAGCCCGACCCAGCCCCCCACCCAGACAGTCCCAGTCCCGACCCAGTCCCGTACCCAGGCAGTCCCAGCCCGACCCAGCCCCCTACCCAGACAGTCCCAGTCCCGACCCAGTCTCCCACCCAGACAGTCCCAGTCCCAACCCAGTCCCCCACCCAGGCAGTCCCAGCCCCTGAAGATACAAAAGGGCAGCAGGTGCTCACTGTACACGGTCGTTCTCCTCCCAGGAAGCCAGGATCCGCTCCACCAGGCGGCACTGCTGCAGCAGCTGTGGGAGAGCAGGACAGGATGGCCTGGGGGGGTCTGCACACGTATGGGGAGCTCTGTGCTATACAGCAGGGGTCCCTTCCTCAGCAGACGCTTCACCAGGCCCCAGCTCATCCACATGGGAGTGGGAAGGAGGGGTAGAAGCTGGGGCTTGGGACCCTGGCATCCAGCCAAGTCTCTCTAGTCTTTCCCGGAGACTATGTAATTTTGCATCACACACACTCACGTACACACACATGCATACATGCTCACACACACTCACGCGTGCACACACATGCATACATGCTCACACACGCGTGCACACACATGCATACAGCACTCACACACACGCGTACACACATGCATGTACTCACACATCGTGCACACCACACATGCATACATGCTCACACCTCACACGTGCACACACACATGCATACATGCTCACACCGCGTGCACACACATGCATACATGCTCCACCACACTCACACGCACACACAGCTGCATACATGCTCCACACACACTCACGCGTGCACACACACATGCATACGTACTCACACACTCATCACGTGCACACACACATACATGCTCACACATGCATTGCATGCATACATCACTCACACACTCCACCCGTACACACATACATACATGCTCACACACACTCACGCGTACACACACGTACATACATGCTCACACACTCCACGCGTGCACACACACATGCATGCAGCTGGCAACTGCACATGCGTGCACACATGTACATGCTACACTCACGTGCACACATGCATACATGCTCACACACGCGTGCACACTGCACATGCTCACACACACTGCGTGTACACACACATGCATACATGCTCACACTCACGCGTACACACACACATGCATACATGCTCACACATACGTACACACACATACATACATACTCCCCTCACACATACACACACATGCATACATACTCACACATGCGATACACACACATACATGTACTCCACACACTCACCACGTGCACACACATGCATCACAGTACTCACACACACTGCGCGTGCACACACATGCATACATGCTCCACACACTCACGCGTGCACACACATGCATACATGCTCACACACACGCGTGCACACACATGCCACATGCCTCCCACACTCCAAGCGTGCACACACATGCATACATGCTCACACGCGTACCACACACCTTCACATACATACTCACACACGCGATACCACATGCATACCCAGTACTCCCACACACTCACACGTGCACACACATGCATACATGCTCACACACACTCACGCGTGCACACACATGCATGCAGCTGCTCACACTCCATGTACACACAGCCCCGCCACATGCTCACACATCGTGCCACCACATGCATCCCATGCTCACACACTCCACCACGTGCACACACATGCATACATGCTCACACACTCACACGTGCACACACATGCATACATGCTCACACACACTCACACGTGCACACACATTACATACATGCTCACACACACTCACACGTACACACACATGCATACATGCTCACACACGCAGCCACTAACAGACACATGCTCTCACACACACAACGTGTGCCACCTCATGCACACAGCCAGCTTGCTGGAGTCTGCTCCCGCCCACCCCTAGCTCTTGGCTCAAGTCAGGGCCACTGCTCCCCTGCACCTGCATGTTTTCATCCCGTTTCTTCCTGGCCATACCTCCCATCCCATCTGGGTGCTGGCACTAACACTACCAACAAACCCTTGTGGGAGGAAGAAGTGAGGTAGGCCTCTGGAAGGCTAAGCCCACAGGGGATGGGCCCAGAAGGGGATCAGGAGTCCAGCTCACATGTTCACAACAGGGTTTTGGGCGGGCGTCTCAGGGTTGCTGTCAGAAGGTGGCCCCAAGCTCAGCATGGTGCTCACGCATCCCTCCACTTGGGCATGCATTGTTGAGGGCATAGTGGAAGAAGAGGAGTCCTGGGAGGACACGGGGTTGAGTACCAGAGAGGCCCTGCCCAGCCCTGGAGTCCCCCAGCACCCCGAGCCCCAGCCCAGTCCGGTCCCCACCCCAGCCCCTGAGCCCCCCACCCAGACCAGTCTCACCACAGCCCTGAGCCCCCAGCCCCAGTCGGTCCCCACCCCAGCCCCTAGGCCCCCACCCAGACCGGTCTCCACCCCAGCCCTGAGCCCCCAGCCCAGTCCGGTCCCACCCCAGCCCTGAGCCCCCACCCAGTCCGGTCCCCTCCACACCCCAGCCCTGAGCCCCCAGCCCAGTCTGGTCCCCACACCCCCAGCCCTAGGCCCCACCCAGACCCCGGTCCCTACCCCAGCCCCTGAGCCCCAGCCCCGAGCCCCAGCCCAGTCAGTCCCCACCCCCAGCCCCGAGCCCCGCTTAGTCAGTCCCGCACCAGCATGGCAGTGGCCCGGGGCACGTCAGTGCCAGGAGCTCCTCCGTCAGGGCTGCATCATTGGCGCTCAGACGCTGGCAGAGAGAAGGCTTGACCACGTGCAGCCGCGCGTGTTGCCAGAGGCGAGCCAACGCCACCCCACGTCATCTGTAGCGGCTCCAGCTGCAGACCTGAGGGAGCCCTGGATTTCCCAAGGCTGCGCTTCCCTGCTCCCCACGCCTCCCTGAGGACCACCACCCCGTCTGACCTTGGGAGGCTCCAGCAGGAGCTGGTGGAAAGGCAGCTGGAGTCGCGGGCGCAGGGCGTGCAAGGCACCCACACTGGACACAGTGCTTTCCAGGGCTCCCTGGGCCAGGAGCTCCAGCTGCCCATCCCACACTGCTGAAGGGGGTTGACTGCAGTCATGGACTCGGACCTGCAGCAGGGCAGGGTCAAAGGCAGAGTGAGCCTAGATGGCCTGCGTGCCCACCCACGAGGAGCAGGCGCAAGGACTGAGTCTGCAGGGGTCTGGAGGAAGGCGAGCCACAGCCCCCAGCGCCGCTCTCTTACAGGCCCTTCAGATAATGCCTGGCTGGGGTGGGGTGAGATGGGGGCGACCCGCCAGGTGGCAGCATTGGCAGTCACTGTGGGAGGCACCGGTGAGGGATGAGGGAGGAAGGCACACCCAACAAGCTAGAGGCCTGGTAAGGCAGGAGCATAGAGGCCTGAGGTCCCCTCCCAGCACAAGCTGCAGCGGTGGCCTCCAGCCTCAGGGCCCTCATTTGTCAAACAAGACAGGAAGATTTTACTCCCTTGGCCCCATGCACTCCCACTGTACAGGAGCACAAGCGGCCACCAGAGCCAGGCGCCACTTGGGAGGCGGCAGTTTCACTTAGAGTGGTACAAGACCCGCCTCTGAGGGCCGGAGGCCCAGGGGATGGGCATGCATGGTCGCCCATACCCCTCACCTCGGCCTCCTGAGCTCCAGCGGGTCCAGCAGCACCTGGATCCCACTGTGATGACAGACTGGCTCTGCCACCCCTCGAACATGTTGGCAGAGCTGTAATGGAAATGTCTGCCTGTGGGGAGTGGGGGCAGGGTCAGGAGTGAGGGGACAGGGAGCCCTGGGCATCCCCAAGTCAGCTCCCCCAGCCTTGGCTTAAGCCCGCACCCACTTCTCCAGGGTGGCCAGCTGGGCTCAGGCTCTGGGCTGTCCTGGACTTGGATCATCTGCTCCCGCTCAGGCGGGCCGATGCATCGCAGAGGACTGGGGCCAGCGTTGGAATGTTGCTGGGATGGGGAGAGACAGGTGAGAGGATCCTGAGTGGAGCCACGGGCCCTCTGCAGCCTGGTGGAAGCCCCTCCCAGGCCCGACCATCCAGGAAAGCGGTCACCCAGACACAGGGGACAAAAGTATTGCCAAACCCAGGGGCACAGAGGCACTAATTGCTGGAGGAAGACGGTGGAGAGAGAACGGGAACCCAGGAAGGCTCCCAGGACAGGAGGCATCCACAGAAGGCCCATGAGCTCGCACACAGGGCCAGCAGCACTGCCCTAGCAGCCCAGACAGAAACCCGGCTAGCAGTGCAGGTGTATGCCTTTAGTCTCTGTGTATCCGCACAGGAGGCTAATCAGCCAGAAAGGAAGTGAAACTGATCCACGCAACCGTGAATGAGCCACAAAAGTGAAACTGATCACGCAACCACGTGAATGAGCACAAAACATCATGCTAGTAGAAGGCAGACACAGACCACATGGTGTGATCCCATTTATATGAAATGTCAAAGACAAATCCAGAGACAGAATAGTCTGTAGCGGTTGCAGGAGCTGAGAAGAGAAAGGAAAAATTGGGAGGGGCTGCTAATAAATACAGGTATCTTTTTCTTTTTCTGGAGAAAGGTCTCGGCTGGTGTGATGGCACGTATCTCAATCCCAGCACTTTGAAAGGCTGAGGTCGGCATCACTTGAGCCCAGGAGTTTGAGACCAGCCCCTGGGCAACATGGCAAAAACTCCATCTCTACAAGTACAAAACAATTGGCAGGAATGCTGGTACGCGCGCGGTAGTTCCAGCCTCATGGCAGAGGCAGGAGGATCGCTTGAGCGGGGGTCAAGGCACGGTGAGGCAAGACCACACCCACGCCTCCAGCCTGGGACTACCACACGCACTCAGCCTGGGACCACCACACCTCCAGCCTGGGACACACCACCGCCTCCAGCCTGGGACCACCCACACCGCCTCCAGCCTGGGACCACACCACCGCCTCCAGCCTGAGACCCACACCACACCTCCAGCACTAGGACCACACCACCGCACACTTAGCCTGAGACCCACACCACCGCCTCCAGCCTGGGACCACCACCGCACACTCCAGCCTGGGACCACACCACCGCACTCCAGCCTGGGACCACACCACCGCACTCCAGCCTGGGACACACCACGCACTCCAGCCTGGGACCACACCACCACGCCTCCAGCCTGGGGACACACACCGCACTCCAGCCTGGGACCACCACCACTCAGCCTGAGACCCACCTGCCTCCAGCCTGGGACCACCACCTCAGCCTGAGACCACACCACCGCCTCCAGCCTGGGACGCACACCGCCTCCAGCCTGGGACCACACCACCGCACTCCAGCCTGGGACCCACACCCGCCTCCAGCCTGGACCACACCACCGCCTCCAGCCTGGGACCACCCACCGCACTCCAGCCTGGGACCACACCACCGCCACTCAGCCTGGGACCACACCACCGCCTCAGCCTGGGACCACCACCTCCAGCCTGGGACCACACCACCCCTCCCAGCCTGGGACCACCACCCACTCCAGCCTGGGACCACCCACTCCAGCCTGGGACCACCCCACCTCCTGCCTCCAGCCTGGGACCACCACCACTCAGCCTGAGACCACCCGCCTCCAGCCTGAGACCACACCACCGCACTCCAGCCTGGGACCACCACCGCACTCCAGCCTGGGGACCACACCTGCCTCAGCCTGGGACCACCGCACTCCCAGCCTGGGACCACCCGCCTCAGCCTGGGACCACACCCACGCCTCCCAGCCTGGGACCCACCACCCACTCCAGCCTGAGACCCACACCACCACGCCTCAGCCTGGGCAGTAAGGCAAGACCCTGTCTCAAAAAAAAAAAAAAAAAAAAAAAAAAAAAAGATCGGCCTCTACATCACCCCCAGGCTGGAGAGTGCAGTGGTATCATCGTAGCTCACTGCAGCCTTGAACTCCTGGGCCCAGAGATCCTCTCGCCTCAGATTCTTGACGGAGCTAGGACTACAGGTGTGCACCACCAGTGCGCCTCAGATTCTTGAGGAGCTAGGACTACAGGTGTGCACCACCAATGCCAGCTAAGTTTTAAACTTTTTGTAGAGACAAGGTCTTGCTATGTTGCCCAGGCTAGTCTCAAATTCCTGGGCTCAAGCGATCCTCCAGCCTCAGCTGCCAAAACGCTGGGATTACAGGCAGGACTTGTTTTTTGGAGCGATAAAAAATAATGTAAATTCAACAAGATCATAAACAACGCTGTGAATACACTAAAAGCACTGAACTGTAAGCTTCAGTGGGTGAGTCGTCTGCTGTGTAATTTCTATCTCAGTAAAGCTGCTACAAGAGAAAAGCATAAGCAGAGCTGAGTCTAACCCAATGGGCAGCCGCCAGGGCTTGGCTGTGTTGCTCCCGGGGCCTCGGACATACCTCAGGGCCCTCACAGGGACAGGCCCCAGCCTGGGTGAGCCCAGAGCCGTATCTCTGCTCTGTAAGCCTGGACGCCTCTCAGAGGCAGAAGCTGGCATGGGGGGGGACATGTTGCTCCCGGGGGCCTCGGACATCTGAGGCTCTTGACAAACACCTACTCTACACTAGACCCTGTGCTAGGCACCAGGACAGAGATGGAGACGTAAGCTGGAGAAACTCATGGATATGGGGCCCCCCCCAAAACTAAAGGGGAGGATGTGAGGGTCCTTGAAAGCAAGGCTGCTGGATGGACCCTTAGAAGGACATCGAGGGGTTCAATCTGGCAGGAGACAGGGAAATAGCTGCCAGGCCCAGCAACAGCACAGGTCAGGCTGGGCAGGGAAGGATGTGGGGCCAGGGCTAGGACAGGTGATGAGGAGGGCCCCTCCCTACAAGGCATTATGTGCCAAGTTCCTGGGTCATGAAAAAACCTTTCCAGCACTTTCGGAGGCCAAGGTGGGAAAACCATTTGAGTCAAGTTTCCTTCCTTTTCTCAAAGGGCACGGATATACCTGGTTCTCAAGGCTCTCTTTTCTCACCAACTTCTTTTTTTCCCTTTTCTGAGACAGGGTCTGTCACCCAGGCTGAAGTGCAGTGGTGTAATCATGACTCACTGTAGCCTTGACCTCCCAGCTCAAGCAGTCCTCCTACCTGAGCTTCCCAAGTAGCGGGGACTACAGGTGTGCAACACCACACTCGGCTACGTTTTTACGTAGAAATGGGTGTTACTATGTTGCCCAAGCTGCTCTCAAACTCATGGGCTCAAGAATCCTCCCACCTCGCCCTCCCAAAGTGCTGGAATTACAGGCTTGAGCCACCGCGTCCAGCCCCAATTCCTCTTTTAAAAGCGGGGAGCTGGGCTTGGGGAACAGACTCTAAGGGGAAGCTGCAGGGGCACTGGCAGCACTCACATTCTCATCCTTCGACGGGTGGATCTGCTCAATCAGCCGCTGGACGATCTTCTCCTCGTTGAGCCACTGAGGGTGAGAAGGCGGGGGCTGCATCACCGTCCACCGCGCCCAGCCCCCCACCCCCAGAGGAGCCGGCCCTGCTCACATTGACAACGTCCTGCCTCAGCTGGGGCCGCTCCACACAGGTAAGCAGGCGCAACAGCAGGTCCATGATGGCCGAGGTGCCGATGTGCTGCAGCAGCAGGTCCACGAAGTCATCCTTCTTCCGCAGAAAGGACACAAGCTGGGGGCACATGGGCTGCGTCACACACAGGGCCTGGCCCATGCGCCATCCCCAGCCCCACGGTGGCATCAGGGTGGGGGCCAGGGCACCTGGTCCGTCTTGCGGTTGATGAGGATGCCCATGACCTTGCTGAAGAAGCTGGCCAGCAGCGGGTTGAGGCTGCCGGTGCTCTGCAGGAAGCCGTAGAGCCGGTTCAGGAGGGACTCATCAGCACCCAGGGCGTCATTGATCTGCGGTACGTCTGAGGTCAGAATCTCGCAGGCCACACTGGGGTACCTGGGAGGCAAGCACAGGCGGGTGGGGGCTCAGGTGGGGGTAGGGGGCAAGGCTCTACCCTCTTCTCTGCACCGGGCACTGGGTTCCTGGGGCCGCAGAGACCCCGTCCAGGAAGCGGAAAGGGCGCGACAAGGCAGAGGACAAGGCTGACACAGAAACAAGGGCCCACACCAGGCCTCCCCTACCCTGCTAACACCCAGCCGTCCCATCCTAGGCTCCTCACCACCCCCAAGACAAGCCTGGTCCTGAAGCTCCTGTGCTTCCCAATCCCCCAACAGCTAACGCTCATCCCTTCTGACTCTCAGCAGCTTCACTTGCAGCCCCGTACACTGCCCCAGCTCTGCTGACTCCTGGAACCTTGCTCAACTTCCAAGCCCACCTCCTGCCTCCCTCCTCCAAACTCTCACATGGTGCCTGATAGCTCCAAGACAAGAGCCACCCCAGCAGCAAGCCACTCAAGGCCCTGAGGGGCCACAATCTGCTCTAGGACTGTAGGGAGGTGCCCCTTGGGAGGCCAAGGCGGGCATATCACTTGAGGTCAGGAGTTCGAGACCAGCCTGGGCAACACGGCGAAACCCCGTCTCTACTAAAAATACAAAAATTAGCCAGGTGTGGTGACTTATAGTCCCAGCTACTGAGGAGGGTGAGGCAGGAGAATCACTTGAATCCGGGAAGCAGACGTTGCAGTGAGCCAATCATGCCACTGCACTCCCACCTGGTGACAGAGTGAGTCTCCAAAAACAAACAAAAAAAAGTGTCTTTTGAGTGTCACTTGGATTAAAAAATAAGTAATCTTAAAAGTGTCTTCAATAGCAGACAAATGTTTCACAAACACACACACACAATTTTTTTTAAAAAAATAAATAAAATAAAAAGCGTTGAATAAAGAGAAAAACCAGCCGGGCATGTTGTCACACACTTGTGGTCCCAGCTACTCGGGAGACTGAGGCGGGAGGATCGCTTGGGCCCGTGACTTTGTGGCTCCTGTGACTGTGCCACTGCCTTCCTTGGTCTGCACCCGGTGAGCTGTGAGGCCTTGTGCAGGGGCCTGGCTGCTCCCTGCCTCGCTTTCCTGATCCCCAGACTGGAGTTTACGGATACTGACGCATTTCAGGGTAGCTGTGAGGCTTGCGTAGTGAAGGTACGTGTGATGCTGATGGGGACGGGCTGGCCAGGAGCTGGGGAACTCACTTGTAGCGAAGCCGCTCCTCACCGCTAGCGGGCGGCTCCTGGGTGACCCAGGCCACCATGGCCTGCAGGTGGGGTGGCTGCAGCAGGAAGTCCAGCAGCTTGCGGTTGACCACCTTGCACTCCTGCAGCACGTCTTCCTCGTCCAGCAGCTCAGGCAGGCTCAGGTCCTCCCGCTCCAGCAGCGTGTCCAGGTGTGAGCTTGTGTGCAGGTCAAACTTCCAAAACATGGCGCCCTACAGGCACGGACACAGCCAGCGCCGCGTCAGACGCCCCAGGGGAGTCCCTGCTGGACGAGGGGCTGACCACAGGCGCTGAGTGCCCACCTCGGGCACAGCCTCTCCCCAAGACCCAGCCCTCTCCCTCACACTGAGCCCAGCCCCACCCTGGGACTGCCCACAGGCTCAGTGCCTCCATCACTCACGCTTAATAAGGCTCCCACCGAGTACCAGGCTCCCACAGCTGCCCTCGAGCCCACCCCTCTTCCCCACCTCCAGCCTCCAGGCCGCCCTGCCTGAAGTCTGGGGGGTCACTTCACACCCGAGGCCTCAGGCCTGGTGAAGTCCCCAGTGTGGACTGTGTGCAGGGCTTGCGAGGAGAGGCTGGACACTGTGCACTGAGAGGCCTCGGGCCCTGCCTCCCCATGAGGGTCTGGGTCCACTATTCCTACTTTTGGGTGGGACACTGCAGGGGCGGGGCCTGAACCTCTGGCTTCAAATTTGCTTCAACCTGTATTTGTTCAACAAACTCAAACGCCCGATGACTCCCAGCACAGGGCTGCTGCTTGGCCCAGCAAATCACCCAAGGCTGCGTGGGAGGCACGGGGCGGTGGCAGGGGGAAGAGAGGAAGTCTGTGCGTCTCCAGGCTGTGGCCGTTGCCTGGACACCACTCACACACAAACACACCCCAACCATCCTCTCACCCAGCACCTGGGCTGGAACAAGGAAGAGGAAAAGTTGGAAGGGAGGGGCTCCCAGAATAGTCACTGACCAGGACCTGAAGGAACCCAGGGTGGGATAGACAGATTCTGCAGAGGAAGAACAAAGCAACACCCAGCCCTGACCCTGTCCCCATCTGGAGCTGGCTCCCGCCCTCTGGAGGACAGTGTCTGGTTCCTCGGCCTGGTTCCAGCTCCTAAACACTCCTGCACAGGAACTCACTGGCAATAAGGACACACACACAGGGCATTAACAAGATGCCAGGCAACCCCATTCTGAGCCCCTGCCCTGTACTGTGTCACTGCTCCGCAGAGCCCTACAAAGCCTCCACACAGACCGTCCACTGCAGAGCTCACCTGTGACACGCGCTCTCGGCACCTGGTGACGATGGTCGTGGCTCTGCATGTGTGCTGTACACACGATGTCCAAACCACCAGCAGCCCCCAAGCAAGCTGTCACCACCCCACCACAGAGGACAAGGGGCAACCAAAGCCCGGTAAGTCAGGCAGCATCCTGGCATCTCAAAGGCCATCTGGTCCCAGCAGACAGCCTTTGTGGAGTTCTCATCAGTTAAGACACCGACCAGAGCTCAGGCTGGTCACCGGCCTCCTGACAACCGTATCACCAGCTAAGGCCACTGCTGCCCCCAACTCACCACAAAGCATGCTGGGAACAGAGCAGAGCCGGCACGGGAGGCCGGGGTGCCTCTCCCACAGCCCTTCACCGCCGTCACTCCCAGGCACAGATGCTAGTCCCTTTCCTCCAACGCCTTTCTGCAGCTCCTTGCAGTTCTGTCATTCCCTTAGCACAGGCCTCCACCATGTCCTCGAGCCCCTCTGACCTGTCACCTCAGTGCCCATCAGTCGCCAGGCCTGACTCAGTCCCAGACCCCAGGGAAGAGACAGGGAGACATGGAGCACCAGGCCCAGGGAAGAGACTTCATCCAAACTTACGGGAGCAGTCCAGGCTGACAACGGGCAGGACAGAGTCCCACACATGGCCTCAGGCAGGTCAAATGCCGCCTGGGCCTCCTTTCCTCTCCTTCCTGCCTAACTTGAAGCCAGGCCAGCCTGGGGCCAGGATCTCCTCGCTCATCCACCCTGACCACCCTAAGGCTGGGCTCAGCTCCGGAGGCTGCAGTCCAGACCTCGCTCCCAGGCTGCCGGTCTGCCTCGGTAACTCCAGGCTGGCAACAACCTTGATATGACACTATGGGTCCCTAAACCTGGCCAATGACATTTGAGAGTGGAGCAGAGGGAAGAGCTCTGTGACCAACGACAGTCATGGCGGCAGCGGGAGGACTGGGGGAGACAGCAGCAGCCTCCAGGCATTTGAACCCCTTCTCTTCTAGGGGGTCTGCCAGGTCCCAATCCGCAGCACCCAGTGACTCACTTCTTACCCCTCACCAGTCCACTTTTCCCAATAATCCTTTTTCTTTGAGCCGTGCCCCACACCACCTCGCCGGTGCTCCTGGGGCTGCCACTTCAGGTGTCTCCTGCACAGCCCGCGGCTGCCTGAGGCACAGTGCTGGATGGATGTCCAGAAGGCCCTGTGGGTCTGGGTGGATGGGGGCATCCCAGGCACTCCAGGCAATGATGTCGATGGTATCCACCGGGGCGCTCCGGCACCTGCACTGTGCTGACTGCTCTAAACAGGACTTCACAGCCATTACCTCCATCAACTCTTACAACCACCCTCCAGGGAATGGCCTCATTTTACAGGAGAGGAAACTGAGGCACACCAAAGTAAACGCCCATGCCCCGATCTAGGGGTTGGTAGGCAGTGAAGCCGGCACTCTCAGCCTTTAGAAGTTGAATTCTCAGGGTGCAGAGTCCCAGCACAGGGCCTGTGTAGTGGACACTTATGGGATGAACAAGCGAGTTCCAGCTGGGCCGGCTCCAGCACTCGCTCTGCCTGAGGGACCAGCCCTGGCCACAGTGACCCCGACTCTCATCTCAGGGAGGAACCTGTCATTTCCAGGCCCACCCTGGAGGGACCTGTCTGGATGGTAAGCTCCCTGTCCGCCTTGTACCCAGCTCCTAGTGCTTACTCAACAGACACCCCTGGATTCAGGGTGGAGGGCTGTGGTCCTCAGGTTCCTCCCAGATCAGCTGTGACAGCACAGCTCGGCCAGAGACCTGAGTTCTCCTCCAACCAGGCACCACCAGGAATCTAGGGACTTCTCAGGCCTCCCACCCTGACCCAGGCACCACTGACCTCCCCAAACATAACCATTCCAGCCCTTCTGCCTGCATGACCACCACGTGACAGCAGGACCCCCACACTCGACCGCAGGTGCTCCCTGCTCGTCCCCCTCCCCACAGCCATGCAGAGCTTGCTGAAGGGAAAATCAGACTCGCCCTCTCGTCAGGTCAGCGCCTGGGACTCTCAATGGCCTCCCACTCCCTACTCGCCCTGGCCACGCTGGCCTTCTGTTTCCAGAACACACTAAGCTTGGGTCTACCTCAGCGACTTTGTCTTCCTTTTGTCTCACTTCTTCTCATCTTCGGATCTCTTATCAAGCATTCACCTCACAGAAGGGCCTTCCCTGGCCTGCCCGGCTCCAGCAGCTAGCCCCGCCTTTGTCACCACTGTCTCCCTGTCTCCCTGAGCTGTGCACTCTGACCTGCCGCCTGGAAGCATCTCTATGACACAGCAATGAAGCGCTGGAGGTGCACACTCGTGGCTCTACAAGGTTTCCTCTAGAACCTTCCTCCTAGGTTACCATGGGCACCTGAGGGCGGCACCTAGCACGGAACCTGGCCCTGGCAATAAATGCTCACAAATATCAGCTGAAAAGCAAACCTCATTTTCACAAGGCCCCAGCTCCTCCCAGGCAAGGAGGCTGTCGCACCTGTCAGGGTGTGGACAAAGTGAAATCACTCCCACCCTGGCCCTCCCAGCCACTCCTACAGGGTGCCTAAGTCAGGAGGTGGGGGAAAGTGCAAGACTGCCCTGGGCAGGCTGGGGAGGCTAGGGCTGGCCCTCAGGGCGGACCCAGGCAGGCAATGGGCGTGTATTTTCCCCGTGTCAAGAGTGACGAAGGCACCACCACCTCACAAGGAAATATAACTATGTCCTTTCCTTGCTCTGAGAACCTCTGTGTGCACAGTGGTAACTCCCCACCGCCACTTCTGCCCAGATGCTAGACCTCCTCGAGGGCCCATCCCCTACTTCCCATCCCACTTGACAAGGAATGCGACGGGCCGACCACCAAGCGTCCATGTCACAGATGAGAAAACTCAGGCTCAGCAAAGGTGACTCACCAGTGTGCTGACAGCAGCGGGGGGGAGGGGGGCATGGATTTCCTGATCTGGGTGTACCTGGGACCAGAATAATCTCAAGGGGCAACCGCCACATTCATCATGACTCTGCCAATTTCCGGCCTAAGGCTGTGGCAAGCGAAGCAACGAGACGTGGCAAGCACACACACAGAGGCTCTTTCTCCATGGGAGACCAGGCGGGCCGAAAGGCTGACCGCGCCACGCCAGCAAAGCCAGTCCCAAGGAACCACACGCCACAGACTTCCACCTATGTGAAGCGTCCAGAACAGGCAAATCCATAGAGACAGAAAGGAGATTATAGGCTTTCAGGAGCTGGAGCGGATTGGGGGAAGTTCCTGAAAGGAAAGGGTGATTTAAAAAAAGTTCCAAAATCAATTATGGTGATGTTTCCACAATGTTGTGAATATACTAAGAACCACTGAATTGTATACTTTATTTATTATTGTTTTTCTTGAGACAGAGTCTCGCTCTGTTGCCCAGGGTGGAGTGCAATGGCGCAATCTGGGCTCACTACAACCTCCAGTTCCCGGGTTCAAGCAATTCTCCTGCCTCAGCCTCCCGAGTAGTGGGGACTACAAGCGCGCAACACCGTGCTTGGCTAATTTTTTTTTGAGGCAGAGTCTCGCACTGTCACCGAGGCTGGAGTGTAGTGGCGCAATCTCGGCTCACCGTAACCTCCACCTCCCAGGTTCAAGCAATTCTCCTGCCTCAGCCTCCTGAGTACCTGGGATTACAGGTATGCGCCACCACGCACGGCTAATTTTTTTTTTAATAAAGACAAGGTTTCACCACATTGGCCAGGCTGGTCTTGAAGTCCTGACCTTGTGATCCGCCTGCCTCGGCCTCACAACGTGCTGGGATTACAGGCATGAGCCACCATGCTTGGCCTAATTTTTGTATTTTTTTAGTAGAGATGGGGTTTCACCATGTTGGCCAGGCTGGTCTTGAATGCCTGACCTCAAGTGATCCGCCTGCCTCGGCCTCCCAAAGTGCTAGGCTTATAGGCGTGAGCC